TCATCGGCTTCATCTTGCACCACTTCATAGTTGGAGCGTTGAATGCTAGCACTTCCTCGATAGAGAGACACAACACATTTCCATGCGTCTTTAGCCACGGCATGAGGTCGAAGATGAGGGAGATCTTCGAGAAGGATTGCATCTTGGATGATGAAGAGAGCACTCTCATTGAATTGATTGTCCACCGCTTCTCGAGGGGTGAAGTTGCTTGGGTCATGAGGATAGAAACCTTCTTCAATGATTCTCCAAAGGTTAGTATTCACATGTTTTAAATGACGCTTGAAGTGATAAACCCAAGAATCAAAATCTTCATGTTTATCATACTAAGGAGGAGGACCGGCATGATTCAAATGAGTAGAGGGAATCGGTCCTCCATAAATTGGGGGTTCCACATGGGCAAAGATGTCGGTGCCATTTCTACCACTAGTAGAAGGATTCTTTTCACTGTTAGCTTCCCCCTTGTCGGAGGTAGCATCCGTCACCTTGTTAGTGGGATCACCCACTTTCATCGGCGAGGTGGACAGTTTAAGCCCTTCAAGAAATTTAGTAAGCATGCTTTCAACCTTGGTCGTCATGGAGTCTTTCAATGTGTCTAGAGCCACATTGAATTCCTCATGAGAGACCGAGGTTCCCCCATCGGCCGTAGACGAGACGGGATTCACACGGAGTGCTCCTCCGCACCGTCTATGGTGTCAACCATACTCTTCGGACGGCAAAGTCCTTAATAAAGAGACGAGGCTCTAATACCAATTGAAAGGATCGATATGGTTGACTAGAGGGGGGTGAATAGGCAACTAACAATTTTTAAGCTTTTCTTTACCAATTTAAACTTTGCGACAAAATAGGTTGTCTAGATATGCAACTATGTGAGCAACCTATATGATGCAATAACAACTAGCACATAAGCAAGCAAGGGATACAACACAAGTAGGCTTGCAAAAGTAAAGGCTCGAAATAACCAAGAGTGGAGTCGGTGGAGATGAGGATGTGTTACCGAAGTTCCTTCCTTTTAAAGGGAAGTACATCTCCGTTAGAGCAGTGTGGAGGCACAATGCTCCCCAAGAAGCCACTAGGGCCACCGTATTCTCCTCACGCCCTCACACAATGCGAGATGCCGTGATTCCACTATTGGTGCCCTTGAAGGCAGCAACCGAACCTTTACAAACAAGGTTGGGGCAATCTCCACAACAATTGGAGGCTCCCAACAACACCACACGAAGCTTCACCACAATGGAGTATGGCTTCGAGGTGACCTCAACCGTCTAGGGTGCTCAAACACCCAAGAGTAACAAGATCCGCTAGGGATAAGAGAGGGAATCAAATTTCTCTTGGTGGAAGTGTAGATCGGGGCCTTCTCAACCAATCCCGAGCAAATCAACAAGTTTGATTGGCTAGGGAGAGAGATCGGGCGAAAATGGAGCTTGGAGCAACAATGGAGCTTTTGGGGAAAGAGGTAGGTCAACTTTGGGGAAGAAGATACCTTTATATAGTGGGGGAAACAATCCAACCGTTATCCCACTGAACAGCCACGCACAGAGCGGTACTACTGCTTGGGCAGGGCGATACTACCGCTGAAGAGCGGTACTACCGCTCCCACCCAGCGGTACTACCGCGCTGACGAGGAAGGCAGGGTCCTGACCCCAGAGCGGTACTACCGAGGGAGTAAGAGCGGTACTACCGCTTAGAGCGGTACTACCGCCACTACTGCCGCTCCTAGTACCGTAAAACCCGACACGAAAAACATCGGGCTCGAGTCGAGGCGGTAGTAGCCCGGAACCACTGCGGTACTACGACCGAAGACCACAAGCGGTACTACCGCTCTGGGAGCGGTACTACCGCTTGACGAGCTTCGGCGGTACTACCGCTAAGGACCGCGGTACTACCGCTGGGACAGGACGGAGCAGGTACGGAGGGAAAGGCAGCTCCATTGAAGCGGAAGGAAAACATCGGGTGTGATACGGATGTGTACGTGTTGATTCCACCCTAGCCTTACCAAAGCGGATCCCCTCTTGATAGTATGGTGACTCCTACGAAACTAGTCCACCAACAGAGAAACGAAGGAGCTACACCATCTTGAATAAAACACCGAGGGGAGGTAATCGTCTCGTGCAAATGGATGAATCTCTGAAAGAACTTAACGCACACGATTAGTCCGCAAAAGCATTGTCATCAATCACCAAAACATCTTGGGGATAAATTTGCCCTTACACTTTCTTTTATACTCCTGCATTTTTTTTCCGTTTCGCACTTAACCGGCGCACATGTTGGGCTCGTTCGTTGCTCCGGTTTCTATTCCTTTCATTTCTCTTATGCTTTCATAACGCGCGGTGAACTTTTTGTAATTTATAGTGAACATTTTCTTAATACAAGATGAGTTTCAAGAATATTATCATCACATTATTTTATAATTTATAGTGAATATTAAGTTGAATAGTTTCTTAATACATGGTGAAATTTTTTTATTTCAAAAAATGTTGAGCATGTATTAAAAACTTTATTTTGTAAAATCATTCTTGCATTTCCAGAAACACATCGATTTTTTTAATAAAAGTTGAACAGTTTTAATGCATTTCTAAAATTTATTATGATTACACAATTATTTTTAATACAGGTCGTCAACTATTTCTTTACAAATGGTTAACGGTTTTTCCATTGCAAAGAACGTTGAAAAAAATTTAAATGCAAATTGGGCATTCTTGTAATATAGGTTGATCAATTTTCTTAGGATAGGATGAACATTTTACTTAATGTGCTGTGATTTTTTTTGTAATTTATGGTGAACATTTTCTTAATACACGATGAGTTTCAAGAATATTATGGTGAATATTTTCTTAATACATGGTGAAATTGTTGTATTTCAAAAAATGTTCAGCATGTATTAGAAACTTATTTTGTAAGATCATTCTTGCATTTCCAGAAACACGTTGATTTTTCTAATAAAAGTTGAACTATTCTAATGCATTTCTAAAATTTATTATGATTACAAAATTATTTTTAAGGGATCTAGTTAATTAATTAATTAGTTTGCGTACGATGACCTGCGTACATCTAGTTAATTAGTTTGGGTACGATGAACGTGTGTTTATTAATTATGTTTACTATCTGTTGCATCTATTTGCTAACCCTTTCTTTTTATGTTGCTCAAGTATATTATCTTACATATTTATTGTTGCTTCCCTTGATGAAGATGCATCTTGAACAGGTACGTAGATCCTTGATGGCGAAGAAGTGCTATGTCGTGTACATAGGGAAAATTCTGGGAGTGTACGACGAGTGGCCCGAGTGTCAGGCCCAAGTGGAGTGGTTCTCAGGTGCCAGCCATAAAGGGTTGGATAGCAGACAAGAAGCAGAAGCGAGTTACTTGAGGTACATGCTAGCGCGAGAGATGAATCAAAACAACCGCCTCATGTACTGCATAATTTCGCTCTCAGTCATAGTGATAGCTTTTCTCTTCTATATCATTGTTTAGATGGATGACGATGTAGTTGCAATATTCGAGACATGTCAAAACTTGTATCGCTATTTCGAGATGATGACAAGAGACATCATTTGTGTTCGATGATGAGTATGATGATGACATGATTTGATGAGACTATTTATATGTGTATGATATGATTACATTTGTATAAAACCTGTAAATATACAAAACAAACATGCAGCAGAGAAAAATAATAATAATAACAGTAGCAAGGGGTTCGTGTGTAGCAGCAACGAGCTTTTAGCAGTAGCGCGCTTTATGATGACGCCCTGCAACGCACTACTGCTACATATGATGACAATAGTGTGGGAGAAAGCACGCTACTGCTAAAAGTTAGCTGTAGCGCCATAGTGCGCACGTCCATGCTACTTATAGGCCTTTTACCCACGCTGCTGATAAGCTTTTCCCTAGTAGTGCGAGCGTGCCTTTGGGATTCTGCAATATCGATGGGGCATCGTTCGGTATTCTGTTAGGACTTGAAGCACCAAGAAATTGTGGGACGTGATGACTGCTTGTGTGATCATGCATAATATGATCGTAGAGGATAAGTGCCCGAAACATATCTATGATCAGGTGATCATAGATACGTCCCGGGCACTTATCCTGTACGATTTCATCATGAAATGCGTGATTGAGAAATTCACATGCAGCCACAAAATGATTTAGTTGAGCATATTTGGGCTCATGTGGGCAATCAATAGATGTATATTTCTTCACATGTATTCGAGACAAATTAATTTTTATTCAGTTTGTAAAACTATGCTAAATTTATTTGGTTGTGAAACTATGCTTTTTGATTGTGAAACTATGCTATTTTTTTAGTGAAACTATGCAAAATGTAAGCATATTTGTTAAAAACAGCGGCCAGCCGGCCACATCGGCAAATATGAGTCGCAGGTGTTGGGCGCTCTGCCTATCCAAATGATAAACTAGGCGAACCGAATAAAAAAGGACAAAATTATCATATGATTAGGTCGGCACGTTACAGTTGCTCATAGAAGGTCGTTTTTGCACGTGTCCGTGTGTGAGAAAGGAAGGCAACAACCTGCTAATGCGGACATGAGAAGGCCTTGGATGCAGCAGAGTGATGATGAATTGTCGAGAGAGCTTCATTGTTGGACAGGATTGCGACCGTTGAGTCTGTTACAACGGCCAGAATTAAAAGTGAGGTAGCCCTCTGGATTAGGATTGAGGGAGATTAGGATTACCAGGCAGGTCGTTTTAGGCCTATGGTGGATGCTCCCAGTAGCCTGTTGTTTCTCTTCTAACATATGTACAGAACTAGTATTGTGTTCTATCCCCTTTCTCTTTTTTTTGAAACGGGGTTCTATCCCCTTTCTTATTACAGAAGACGCACAGCTTGTGGGTTCTTGAAAAAAGCTTCATTGTTTCAGCCCATTGGGCGAACCACTGACGGCCCATTGGGCATTGGCTAACGCGAGAAAAACTCTCGAACCCTTGGTCGTAGGTTTCAATCCCCTTCCTCCTCCTCGCTCGACGGCACCACCCATCTTCCGCCGCCATGTCCATGCCGGCGGATCGCTCTCGTCCACGGGAGTAAGTCCATTGTTGGAAATAATCCAAACCTAGTCTCGTACTAGTATGCTACAGTAGTCAATTAGGACTATAGCTATTAGGCGTGTCGTGTCCTGGTAGTACAAGTTGTGATCAGGTCAGATCTTGTTTGTTCCAGGCGTGAGTAGCTCGTCTAGGTTATGTCTAGTCCGAGGTGTGTATATAAAGCACACCTGGGCTGTTGTTTTCTATGTATCAACCATCGCAAACTCCTTCACTGATCCCCTGGTCTGACATCTCATCTGTCTTTGTTTGTGCAGATCTTCCTCTCCTCCCTATGGCGGCATGGCAGCCGAGAGACTCGCCGACGATCTGCTCGTCGAGATCCTCGCGCGCGTCCCCGCAAGATCAGTTTGCCGCTTCAAGTGCGTCTCCAAGGACTGGCTCAGCCTCATCGACCACCCCGATCACCGCAGGAAGCTCCCTCAAACCCTAGCAGGCTTTTTTTACACTAGGAGCGACAACGGGGAGTTGCCTCTGGAAACAGAAGTCCGCTTCGCCGGTGTCTCGGGGAAACGCTGCCCTCCAGTCGACACCTCTTTTGCCTTCCTGCCCAGCCACCGGCGCGTCGATCTACTAGACTGCTGCAATGGCCTCCTCCTCTGTCGCTGGTATGGCGTTTCCGCTCTTGGTGATGAGTTTTGTTACATCGTGTGCAATCCTGCCACGAAGGAGTGGGTTTCGTTGCCCGACCGTAGCCATGAAAACAAGGTGGGCATAGAGCGTCTGGGTTTCGATCCGACCATGTCTTCCCACTTCTATGTGTTTGTGTTGCTAGAGAATGTCAACTTTAATGCCTACCTTGCTGAAGTGGAAGTGTATTCGTCGGAAACCAAGAGATGGGTTTACAAGGAAATTGGATGGAACAAAAGAATTGTGCTTCCCGCTGAGCAGTCTAGCGCTGTCTTCCTCAACGGTTGTTTGCATTTTTACTCCTTCGGCAAAAGGTCACCCTTTTTTATAGGTGTGGTAGACACGGCGGGGGAAACATCAATGAACTTCCATATCCTTGATAATTTGAATAATGGTTTTATTCAGCACTCACAGGACTGTCTGCATTATGCCAAGTTCAAGAGAGGTGATGGTAATGTGGTTTGACTAGTAGTCTATGTTCTCGAGGACTATGACCGCAAAAAGTGGAAACTGAAGCATAGTGTTAAAACTTCAGACATATTTGGAGGGACACATGTTATAGATTCCGATTCGTTTGCGATTCATCCGGTCGATTCCCGTTGGATTGCGATTCATCCGGGGTGTAACTTAATCTTCTTCACTGTGGGGTCAGCTTCCATATTAATGTGCTATGATATGGACCGTCGACAAGTCAAAGTGATCTGCAGTCTTGATGGTTATCTGCCACGCCTGCCATATGTGCCATTGTATGCAGAGTTGCAATCACTGCATACATGACGTCAATACGAAATTCACTTCATGCATGATATCAATATGAAACCACCGCTGTCTTTGTAGAAACATCTATGATAGGAGTCATTATTTCATGCTATGGAGAAGTATCTTATATGTCTGCTCGGATTTGGTTCTCGTTTTCTTGACTGATGTATGCACTTTTTAAGCAAAAGTCATGATCAATAAACTCGTATCTTCTATTTTAAGTCAGGGAAAAGCATAAGCATTTATTGAGAAAGAACTAGCCAATGATCGCTTGTCTGCTACTGGCACATGTGTGAAATATGTTACCTTTGCTCTTACGTATCTGTTATAATCCCTCTATTCTGTTATGTAAGGTGTATTATTTTTGGCACATTGACCAAGGCACATGATTATAGACAATTAGGACAAAACTACCCTTGTCAAATTCATTGATTAGCGGCAAGTAAATCACTTAGGCTAGGAAAGGAAGAGATACACGCAATCGGGAGAGAGATGGTTTCCTTTTTTCTCTACAAGGAGAGATACATGCAATCAGGTGAGAGATACTTTATTTTTTCCGGAGGGCCAAGAACGGAATTACGAGGAATTAGCACAAATGCACCTTATATTGTGGAATTTTATTAAAAAAAATACACCTAATACAAACACATAGTGAAACTGGATGAATATGGTGTCACGTCAGTTGAGGCCAATTACTTCCCGTGAAGTTTTATAATAGATCCGAGCATATATTGTCGAAAGTGTAAATCCTTAATATAACCACATCATCTTGTTTTTATACAAAAACACGCATCACCTTATTTTTTTTTGAGGGGTTAAAAAACAATCATCACCTGATTCGCTCGAGCAGGGCCAAGGCCTTCCAGAACTTAATGAACGTGTACATAGCCCAATCCGCGAGGATATAGTTATCCAATTATTGACGCAACGACGACCCATTCGCTAGGCAGGAAATGCGAAAGTGCCAGTCATGTCCGGAAAAACCTATTTGACGTATTTCGCGTCAAACAGTCGTACAGTTTTGAGGTTCTGGTTTTAGGAACCTTCTAGAGGATTCCCAGCCGGTTTTCCTGGTTTTGGGAACCTTCTAGAAGTTCCTGAACTGGTTTTTCTTTTTTCCTTCCTATTTTTCTTTTTACTTTTTTCTGCCCTATTTAATTTTTTTCTATTCCTTTTTTTTGTTTTCGTTACTTTTCTTTTTAATTTTCTTTCAGTTTTCCTTTTCGCATTTATTTCTTTTTTTTCAAAAAAATTCTGGACTCCAAAAATGTTTGTATTTCTTAAAGTTTGTTCATTTCCCAGATTTTGTTCCAGTTTCCAAATTTCCTTGACAAATTGCACAAAAGATTAGTACTTTAAATTTTGTTCACTTCTTCCCAAAAAATGTTCCAAAATTAAAAAATAAGACAATTTAACTTTTTTAGCATTTTCTAATTTTGTTCAATAATTCAAAAATGTTCATAGATTTCAGAAAATGTTACTATTTTCAAAGCAGTTTGGAAATTTTAAAAACGTTCATATTTCCAAAATTGGTTCGTAAATTCATAAAATGTTCGGGAAAATAAATAAAATTTTGGAAAACTTTTCGCGTCATGCAAAAATTGTTCATTAATAAAATGTTTCTGTTTTCAAAATATGTTCACAAAATCAAGAAAACATAATTATCCTTTCATAATTTTGCGGAAATTCAAAAAAGTTTTGGGAGAATTTCATAACATATTATTTATATTTTAATTTTTGTTCTCAAATTCAGAAAATGTTCGTATTTTTTCAAAAAATGTTTCTACTTTCCAATTTTTTCGTTCATGTTCTGAAAGTTTCTTCGTTATTTCAAGAAATGTACGTATTTTTTATTTTTGTTTACGGCCTCAGAAAATTATTCAAAACTATTCAAAACTAAAAGGAAACGAGATTTCAAAAAATGTTCCAACTTTCCAAATTTCTTCGCAAATTCAAAAAAAATCATGTTTTTAAATTTCTCTCACATATTAAAAAAATGTTCGGTAATTTTAAAAAAGGTTCACATTTATTAACTTTTAATCACCAATTCAAAAAAAATGGGAATTTCCAGAAATGTTCCCGCTTTCCAAATTTGTTCACATCATGAAAATGTTCATATTTTTCAAATTTGATGCCGAATTCCAAAAATGTTCGTCGGAGTTCAAAGAATATTCATGTCTTGAAAATTTTGTTCATAATTTGGAAAAAATCGCGCTTTTAGCTTTTTGTTCCGTTTTTTGGAAATTGTTTTGCATTTTCAAGAAATTCCTCATAATTTTGAAAACAATATTGTTTTCATTTTGTTCATTTTTTTGCAAAAATGTTTGAGATTGCCAAAAATGGTTTGAGTTTTACATTTTTTTGCTATGAAATATGATAATGTTTGCTATGAAATATGATTTTTTTTGCTATGAAATATGAATTGTTTTGCTATGAAATATGAAATAGTTTTAAATCTGTTTTGGCTTATGTTTTTATAAGGCGGATTGCCATTTTGTCTACAAAATCCCAGGAATTCTGGTGGCTGATGCTCACTTGCAGTAGGTCATCCCTAGATCCCTGCCGATGTTGTATGCTTCTTTAAGTTTGGCGCTGCAATCTTAACATTTGAAGCTGACAGTCGCAGCGCTAGCACCGCGCTCCAGCTACTGCGAAGTCATAGAATTGACCCCTAGTGTTTTTTTTTGCTTTTTTTCATACTGCGATCGTGCCACCGGAAATGGGCCGGCCCAGGTTAGTCGCGCCCTATGCGAAACATCGGCATTTTTGTCGCGGTGGTCCTGGGAGCGCCCGTACGCCGCCCGTGCGTCCGATCGTTGTGACTTTGTTGATGCGACACGCACACGGGCCGGCCCAATCATCTGGCTGTGAGCGAAAAAACGAAAAAAAGAAAAAGCGTGGGATCATACCGACGACCTCTTGCGCGAATCAAGTGAGGCTAACCAGCTGAGCTACCTACCACGACAATTTTACATGCAGCGCCAATCTTAAAGTAGAATGTACAGGGGCAAATCCTTAAAAAAACGTTCAACATTTTTATAATATACCTTGAAGAAATTTAAAATACAGTGAACGTTTTTGTAAAAAAATACTGAACAAATTTCAAATACTAAAATGGACATTTGATGGGTGTGCGCAAAACAATTTTTAAATATATGATGAACAAAACTTAAATACACAATGATCATTTTCTAATTATATGTTGAACAATTTCATATTATACAATGACCATTTTTGTAATACACAATAAACATTTTCTAATATACGTTGAACAATTTAATAATACATAATGAACATTTTTGTAATACATAATGTACATTTTCTAATATACGTTGAACAATTTAATAACATACAATGAACATTTTTGTAATACAATGAACAATTTTACAGTGCAAGGTGAACTATGTCATAATATACGATGAGCATTTTCTTAATACATTGAAGATTTTTGTAACACACGGTGAACTTTTTATACAAATACACAATAATGAGAAGAAGACCAGAAACAGGAAATAAAAAAGGAAATGTAAATGAAAGAAAATGAAAAGGACAAAAAGGAATCAAAACAGAAAATTAAAAAACGGAACAAAACAACTGAAAACCGGCCAAAACCGTGAAAAAACTGGAAGCAAAAAAACCATAGAAGAAAAACGAAAAAACCCCGCAAGAAACAGGGAAAACAGCAGCGAACGAAAATCCGTACCTGGGCGGGCCCAAGTGGCGACTTGCTTCAGCGAAGGCTCCTCCTTTTGACGCCTGCGGGCGTCAAATAGAATTTGCCGGTGGTCCTATGCGCTGCATTATGCGTCAAAAATGTGGGGCGTCCGCATAGGAGACAGGGTGAGTGGGCCGGCTCATCGAGCTTTACCGCGAGAGGAAAATAAGGTAGAAAACGCAGCGACGGTACAAATCCAGTATTCGAACACGAGACCACCAGGTTGTCGTCGCTACCGCACAGCCACTAGACCACCCATATTTTAACATCTTAACGCAGCGCATCTAAAGAACTAGTTTTAGCGTAGAACTGGGCTACTCTACTGCAGCGAATTTCAATCAGTTAATGTCACGAACTGGAATTTACAGTGATAGTTTTTTTTAAGCGTACTTCTTTAAAGTGTATACTTTGAAAATGTGCAAACATTTTTAGAATTCCTGAATAATTTTCGGCAAAAGGAACATTTTTTTCAATACATATACAAACTATGAAAATCTGAAGAAAAATTGAAACTTCAAACATTTTTTGAATTTTAGAACAAATAACTAAAAAGGAACATTTCAAGAAATTTGAACAAAAATTATTACTACGAACATTTTTAGAATTTATTAACAAAAAGGGCAAAAATGGATTCATCAAATTCCGAACAAAAAATTGCAACCACGAAATTTCAAAAATTTCAGACCAGATTTTGGGATCATGAATATTTTCTGAATTTTCAACAAAATTTAACAGAACGTGAACTTTTTGTGGAATTTGTGAACAAATTTTTAAAAATAGGAACATTTTTGGAATTCCTGTACATTTTTTGAATTTGTGAACGATTTAAAACAGGAAGATTTTTTTTCAAATTCCTGCACATTTTTTGAAACGTGAACAATTTTAAAATTCTGAACAATTTTGTTAAGAGGAACATTTTTTGAAAGTCTGAACAAAATTTGAATTTGTGAACAATTTATAACAGGAAGATTTTTTTTAAATTCCTGCACAT